ATGTTGACCACTTAAAGAAAATGAATGTCTGTTTTCTTTTTTCTTTTTTTTTTTTTTTTAATAGTGGCAACTGGCTACTGTATAATGTCTGTGAGCGTGTGTGTGTGACTGCAATCCATGCATGCGAGTCCTACTGGTAATATGAAAACCTGCTGTAAGACTGCAAGAAAATTTACTGTAGCTTTGCTTTAATAAACGGTAGAGATTTTGTTAGTAACAACCTGAAGGGAGAAACAAAATGAGCTGAAAACTAACATTCCCTGGTGTGCTCGTGTGGAAGAGAGCACAATTCAGACTGTGTATCTTGTTCTTGGGTTATCTCCCCATCCCTTTTATAACTATGGTCATCCAGATCATTGCTATTATGGGGAAAGAAATTGAAAACTGAACTCAGTCATATTCAGATTTGATTGATTGAAAACCAAAATCAGTTTCAAATAAGGTGGAAACCAAAATATAATGCCTTTTCTGATAACTCGCCTCTGTGTGTGTGTATCATTCTGTGAGTCATAGAATCATGCAGTGGTTGGGTCGGAAGGGACCTTAAACCCAGCCAGGTCACCCCCTGCTGTGGGCTGGGTGCCCTCCACCCGGTCAGGGCCCAGCGCCCATCCAGCGCAGCCTTGGGCACCTCCAGGGATGGGGCACCCACTGCTCTGGGCTCACTTCCCCCCGAGCCTTTCCCCTCCAGTGAAACAACTGATGGACAGCGTTTGTCTGGGAGTGCCAGGAGCTCAGGGGAAGCTCCTGCCTTTCTGTGGCTGTGGGAATCATCTCAGGGTGTGAAAGCATGCCAAGCCACCACCTGAAGAGCGATGCGCTCCCACACCACCAGCTGTGCCTCCACCCTTGCACACGAGGATGTGCGTCAGAGCCAGCGCTCGGCCCACACTGCTTCCTGCCTGCGGCCTGGGAGCCGTGCAGGGTCACCTCTTCCTCCTTCTGGCCAGGCCATCCTGCTGAGCCCTGCTGCTGCCCGAGCACCTCAGTAGAGACACAGGCTCGTATCTCGTTTCTCCCCCATTTAAATGTCCCAGGTAGTCCTGGACATGAGATGCAATACCACCTGAGCGGTTACATCAGCAGGGTCATTTCAGCTGCTTGTGACAGATCGGCCAAAACCTGGTGGCTGCTGCCAAGGTCCCCCCCACTGCCCACAGCACGGTCACTGCCAGCCCCCAGGCTTGGGTTGCTGGTGTACAATTGGAATAAAGCTGGAGGGCTCAGCCCGGGCACTGAGGGTCTGCTTGTTTAGGGTCCCAGGAGCCCCTCATTTCCTGAGGCAGGTGATTAGATGGGGAAGCCTGGCTGCTGCCATCCAAATTGAGAGAGAAAATGTAAAGCAAGCATGAATAGAAGAGTTAGCAGCAAGGAGAGATTAGCTGTGTGTTGGCTCTCCTGCCCACTGCCAAGAGTTAAGGTGCAGTGTAAGCACTGGGAGAGAGGGAAAGTGGAGGTGTGCAGAGGTACAGGGTTAAATATTAAGAAGTCAGATAATAGAGGACCAGAAACCTAGTTGCACGCTGCCCTCGCTGGCAGGGTATGGCAGCTGGCTCCTACTGGGAATGGGCTCAGCATGCACGTGTGCAGAAATGTGTATGTGCATGCATGTGTGTGTGGGCATGCAAGAATGCATTTCTGTGCCTGCACGCACTTGCAAGCACACAGCCACGCAGGTGCATGCAGTACGTGCCTGTGCACAGCGGGAGGCACACAGGAGCTAAAAATGTAGCAGTGTTTGAGCTGTTTCCTTCTTTCCCCTGCACTCAGCAGGTTTCCAGCCACCTGTGGCACCCAGATGCCTCCCCCCCCCCCATGCCATGTCCATGTGGCAATGTCTACAGCCCTGCAGAGGGGCCATGCCCTCAGCTCAGCCCAGCACTCACATGAGGTCTTGGGGCCATCTGAACCCTCCCACCTGCACTACCCTCTGTCACCCGCCCAAAAAGCAGCGTGAGCCGTGCTGGGTGGGGGACAGCTTTATTCCGACAATCTCACATCCACGAGGCACTCAGAGCGCAGTCTCTATGGCATGCACCCACTCCATTCCACTATCCAACTACCCCATATCACCCCACCATCTCACCCCTCCAGGCTTCCCGCAGCCTGGCCTTCACCCGAAACTTCTGCACCTGCAGCACGACACCGAACTTGCCCTCCAGTGAGGGCAGGGGCTGATCCTGCGGACATTCGAGTGTGAACCTCTGCAGCACCCAGGCCAGGAAGAGGAAGAGCTCCATCTTGGCCAGGACTTCACCCAGGCACACGCGGATGCCGGCCCCAAAGGGCAGGTAGCTGGGAGAGGGTGAGTGGATGTGCTGGCCCTGCTCATCCAGAAAGCGGCCTGCAAGGGTAAGGGGCACCGCTGGGGATGGGGATTTGCCCCTTCTGACTGAGACCTGCCCCAGTTCATCATCCCTCCCACCTGAGCTCTGGGCTAAGAGCTCACAACTCACCAGGGTTGAACTCCTCAGGTTTATCCCACTCCTTCTCATCGTGGTGCACAGACCAGAGGTTGATGACCACTCTGGCGCCCTTGGGGATGGAATACTCACCGATGCTGTAGAGCAGACACAGCATGTGATGGACGCTCCCTCCCCAGCCTCTGCCCACACCCAAGTTGGTCTCACCTGGTGTCAGCGAGGGACACGTGTGGGATGAGCAGGGGGGACACGGGCCGGATGCGCAGCACCTCACTGATGGTAGCCTCCAGGTAGGGCAGCAGTGGGCGGTCACTGAGGTGGGGGTGACGTGCCAGGCCAATCTTCTGGTCCATCTCCTCCTGGATTTTCTTCTGGACCTGCAATAGGAGGGAGCCTGGGAGGGGTATGCTCTGTGCAAGGAGCATCTCCAGCACACCGTGGCAGATAAAGGCAGAAACAAAGCTCTCACATCCCTATACCACTTATCTCTAAAGCCTGACATCTCCCCCAGCATCGCTCTTTCCCAAAGCCTTCTGAGATGGCCCTGATGCAGGAGGGACCCCACAGGCCGTACCTCAGGGTAGTGGAGCAGGTAGAGCACAGCCCATTTGAGCACAGTGGTGGTGGTTTCCACGCCGGCCCCAAAGATGTCCCCCACCGTCATGAGGAGGTGGTCATCTGTCAGCTCCAGACCTGGCTCAGGAGGGCTGCTGTTCTCAGCGTTGAGCCTTACTTGCAGGAGGGCATCCATCAGATCCCTCACAGTGTCCCCACAGAACGCTTCCTGCCAGGGAACACGTGTGAGTTGGGCTGTCCCGTGCATAGTCCTACAGCCCAGCTCCAGCAGTTGCAGCCCCAGGCATCCCCTGCCCCTTCAGCACCTTGTGTTCAGTGAACTTCTGCTGGAGCAGCTGGTCCCTGACCTTGAGGCATCGCTTCAGCAGGGCCAAGTCCCTGTTGGGGAAGATCTGGGGGAGAAAAGCCCCAAGAAGGTTCATGTGGGATGATGCATTCCAGCCCCTTCCTCTATTTCAAAAGGAAAAGGCCCACTTGGTTGCTGTGCTCCCACTCACCTGCAGCCAGGGGAAGATGTCCACCAGGCTCTCCTTGGCTACAGTGTCCACAATGCCCTGGCTGTACTCCAGCATGGCCTCGAACTCGGGGTCCCCACGCCGGTAGGAGGAGTTGAAGCAGAGGGAGCAGACCACGTTGGTGACAGCCCGCGTGAGCTCTGGGGCCATGTCTAGGGCCATATCCTGTGCAGCACCGAGTGTCTCACACAGGGACGCAGCCTCCCGACAGACTTTGGATGGAAGGAGAGGGGCAGTGAGCTCTAGGGGCGGCCAAGGGGGGAAGGAGGGGGAAAGCTCCCAAGCTGCTTCATCAATTCCCAATTATTTGCCCCTGGCATCCCAGGAAACCCAAGCATGGTGAAAACCAAACACTTACTGATCTTCTCGAGGGCGACTGAGCCCTCCCCAAACATGGAGAGGGCGGCATGCACCAGCTTGCGCTGGAACTTCCAAAGGGGACCGTAGCTGGCAAAGGCGATGTCCTTGCCCCCACGGGACAGTAGGTCCGTGGTCACCTGCGGGACACGCAGCCACGGGGTCACCCTGTGCAGCATCCTCACCCCACACCAGGGGATCCGCCAACGCTGTCTCCGTGGCAGCATGACTTACAGTGCGAGGCCGTCCGGCGAAAGCCTTCCCCTTCTTCAGCAGCACCTCCCGGGCGTGCCTGTAGCTGTTGACCACCACCACGTAGTGGGAGCCCATCCATAGCCCGTAGAGGCTGCCATAGCGACCCTGCAGGCGCCAGAGCCGCAGGTGGAGCTGCGGGTGCCCGGCCAGCTGCAGCAGGCTCCCCACCAGCGGCAGGGCTGGAAGGCTCCGCAGCCGCCCCATCCCCGTCCCCTTGGGAGCCTGACTGCATGACAGCCTCCAGGCGCAGAGCAGGGCCAGGGCAAGCAGCAGGACAGCAAGAGGCGGCATGGTGGGATGGCTGCGGGACCGTGTGGCTCCAGGGCCTTTATAGCCACTCGGAGGCATCCCCTTGACCCTGGGATAGGCTGGGCAGCTTATCGGGGAGATGGCGGGGGGGTGATGGGCAGCGGGCCAGCACTGCAGCTGGGGTGAAGGCAGCGGGGCCAGCAGTGCTAGCGGAGCTCTGGGGATGCTCCGGCTGCAGCCAGCGCGGCGGTGGGCAGGAGGGGTCTGGGGGCTGTTGCCGCTCTGGGAGACCTTCCAGGTGCATGGGCTGCACTGGACTGTACTGGGCGGCTCCGAGCGGAACCGGGCAGCCCCTCTCAGCACTGGGAAGCACTGGGCAGCCCTGGGCAGCCCTGATCATCGGGTAATAGCGGTCAAGACCGAGTAGTACTGGGCACAATTGGAATGACCGGGCAGCTCCGGACGGCTCCGGGCATTACCGATCAGCACTGGGCACTGGGCGGCACTGCAGGACAGCAGCGGGCAGCACAGAGCAGCGGCATTGCGGAGCCGCAGCGCGTTCCCGGCCTTTCAGGCCCGCGGCGCTCGCCGTAGCGCAGCCGTGGGGCGGGGCGGGGCGCGGCAACATGGCGGCAGGGGGCGCGGCGGAGGCTCAGGCGCGCTTCGGGCATTCGGTGAAGGGACTGCTGACCGAGAAGGTGACGAGCTGCGGCACCGACGTGATCGCCCTCACCAAGCAGGTGCTGAAGGGCTCTCGCAGCGCCGAGGTGAGCGGCGGGGCGCGCGGGGGGCGCGGCAGGACGGGCCGGAGGGGCGGGGCGGGGCGTGGCGGGGCCGGGCCGGGCCGGGCCGGGCCGCTCCCGTCCCCAGCCCTGCTCTCCTGTCCCCACCCCTGCTCTCCCTTCCCTTCTTTCCCCTCCCCTCCCTTCCCTCCGCTTGGCGCTGCCCCTCAGCGCTCCGTGCGTTCCTCTGCCAGTTGCTGGGCCAGGCCGCCAGGAACATGGTGATGCAAGAGGATGCCATCCTGCACTCCGAAGACGTAAGCTGTGTTTGTCTGCTGGGGCAGCCGCGGTTCTGTCAGAGGCGGCTGCTGTCAGAGGCTTTCATTCTCGATCTTGTTTTCCACAGAGTTTAAGGAAAATGGCCATAATAACCACGCACCTGCAGTACCAGTAAGTATGGACCCCTGGGAATCTGAGCGGAGCCTTTTGTTGATTTTCCTTCTTTGTAATTTGTGATTCAATGATTCTGTAAAGATCTGTGGAGCCACTCCATGCAGGCCCGTTTGCCACTTCCCACAGTCGGGCACACCATGGGACTGCGACTGTAGAACTGTTCTAGTGGGAAGGAACCCCTAAAGGCCCTCTGATCCCACTTCTCTGTGCTGAACAGGGCCACCTCCAGCTCCATCAGGTGCTCAGAGCCCCTCCAGCCTGACCTTGGGTGTCTCCCGGGATGGGCAACCACCACCGCTCTGGGCAACCTGTGCCAGTGCTTCAGTACTCTCCAGCCCCACCACATCCACTGATATGGATGAGGCTGTTTGGAGTGAGAACTGTGATTTTTTGCTTCCTGTGCGCCACGCACTAGGCCTCCTGTACCTGTGTGTGATGCTGAGAGGGAGAAAAGAGCCACTGCTTTCTGGTCTGGGCATAATCCAGACACATTTGGAGGTTTTGGCCTCCTGAGCTCTCAGTCCCTTTTCATCAGTATCACACAAAAGCTGTTTCTGAGATTTTTTTTTTTTTTTTTTTTTTTTTTTTTTCTAATGCTCTTTCCTATCCTTTTTTTCTCTAGGCAGGAAGCGATTCAGAAGAAGTGAGTGCCTAACTGAAGAATGCCGGGCAGACATGGGAAGCAGCATGTCAAGGCCAATGGGAAGGCAATGAGTGATTGATAGAGTAGGGGAGGGGAGAACACAACTGGAAATTTTTGCAGCTGCCTTTGAAACAGATGCTGGCCCAGCAGGATAAGTTTTCACTGCTGTGAGGATCAGTACTGTGGAGGGCTGAGAATTTGGGTGAAGAGATGATTTATGCTAAGCTTCCATTTGTTTCATTAACATACACAGGAGCACAAAGAGTGAGGTTTGCTGTGAGAGGATAGGGAGTAGGGCTGGGGAGATCCAGGCTGGGGAGATCCAGGATTTCTTTTTTCTGTAATGTCAGTGCTAAGACTGTTCTGGGTGCTTAAGTACAGATCTCACTGTGAACCTCTTCTTATTTTGTCCCTAGTGTGGAGCAGTCATCAAACCTGAGGGACCAGCTGAGTCACTTGCTGAAATGAAGCCTAGCTGAAGGCATTGGACATCTCCACTGGCTGTCCTTTTCCTCCTGGGCCTGGGGCTCAGACCTGTGTCTGGATGGTGCTGAATGCCAGCTGGGATACACACAGAGTGCACATTCCTGAGTGTGCAGGCACCTCTCAGGTGTTCCCATCCACATCTGTATTCAGAACACTCTCCTGATTCCTTACATCTAACTGGAACCTTAGCAGAAACTTCACTTCTACAACAGTTCCTGTGTTCCTTTTCTTATCACGTGCAGTGTGAGGTGCTCAGCCTGTGCCTGTACCTCAGCACCTGCATTGTTCAGCTGATGGCCCTGTGTTGAAATGGTTTGTCAGCCCAGAATGCGGCATGTGCTGCCCATCCAAAGCCTTTTGTCTGTATGTCCACAGCAGGATGATTTTTCTTCCCATCCCTGCTGAGTCATTAGCTGTCTGCTGTAAGATGATGAAATACCTAACGATCTCCAACAATCGTAGAGCTGGGATTTTCATACAATATAATTTCTCCTCCACCCTCCCAACGAAGTGTATGAAATAGAGCTGCAAGTTTTAAATACAGAATAACTACAGCTACAGGACCTTATTTAGACACTGGGATGATGGGTGTGCTTTATTTAGGGCCTGTTAATCAGTGGGAGCTGTAAGTGGTTGGGTGGGTGTAGAGGTGCTTCAGCGTGGACTGAGGTGCCTGTCACAGAGCAGAATTTTAGAAAGCGTGACTCTGGGCAGGCACCACTGAGCCAGCTGGACATGACTTTGTGAGCATCCTGCTCTGAGCTTATCTTACTTTTTGCTAAGCCAGAATTTGGAATGTCATCTCTTTGCCAGCGCATCTGCGCTGCTTTCGGCCTTCAATTGCATTCCAGTTCTGGCTTGCTCCTCCAGTTCTTGATTAAGCAGCCTTGGTAGTGCTGTGTAGCTGTCAGATTGGGAACGCGTCCAGAGACGTGGCTGGGATGTGGGCAGTGAGGGGCAAAAGAATGTCAGGAGCCTGTGTATTCAGTTCTGCATTGCTCTGTCCTGAGGTCTTAGTGTCTGGGTTCCTGCTTGCTTCTCGGTGAAATGAGGTGCAAGCTATAAATACTACGCCTCGTTTTTCTTGAGTCTCTTATCTGGAGCACTTGGAGCACACTGGAAGCACTTGTTTGCCTGAGTGTGCTTTTCATCAGCTGATAGGACAAGAGCATGGATCAGCTTGCCACATTCCTGCAGTGTGGTTTTGCTGATGTGCAGAGCCATGTGGCTTTGCCCTTGCTGCTCTTCCAGAACCACTGCCTGCCTGCCCTCAGCTTGCAGCGCCCAATCTGTGTTTCTGTCGAGGTGTCCAGTGATACTGTTAGCTTTTCCTCTGCACTGTGCCTCTGCTCAGGCAAGAACGCAGCCATGGAGGGCATGGAGAGGCTGTGGTGATTTGCTTTGTTGTTATAAAAGCTTGGTTTTCTACACCTTAAGTCTGTAATCTTTTCGTCTCTTGTGTAAGGTTACCTTGATAGCAGGGGTTGTAGCCTGCACTGTGTGAGGTGACACCTAAACAATGGGGTGCCAGGGGATATTTGTGCCCTGGGGGTTCCTGGTGCTTGGATCAAAGCTGCCCTTTGGAGCAGTTTCCCTGGAGCTTCTTGAGAATAAAAGAGCTGTCCCAGGCACTACCATGCTGCAGCTGTGTGTGCTGCTGGTCACCCTGACCAGTGTGGAACAGCATGGCATACTCCTGCTTCACTCCAGGATCTTCCTGTGGACACAGTGTCCATGTTGCAGGTGGCTTATTCCCCACCAGAGCTCCCATCTGCAGGGGTTGGAACCTCACCCTGTGGTTTCCCTGCGTTTGGGCAAGCAGGAGGTGAGATGGACTGCGCTGTGAGAGGGACAGAGCTGGATGGGAATGGCTGCTGGTGCTGGCAGCAGGCAGGGCTGCATGCTAGGGTTTGAGGCCTGCTGGGAACTGACCTCGGGAGGGAACAAAGAGCCGGGGCGGAGCGTGGCCAAGCTGCAGCTGGAAGCAGTAAGTCGCACTTCAGGGTGCTGGGCCCTGTCCCAAGGGGAACCCTGGGAGACATTGTGGAAGGAGGATTTGCCGTACAGGGATATCTCTGGCAGGGATGGGTTTGGGGTGTTTCAACTGGGGTGTTGGCAAGGGGTGTTCTTCCCACCAGGATGCGGGTCTGGGGCCTCCCTGGGGTTGTCAGATGGAAGCAAGGGAAGCGTTCTGGTATTTTGAGGAGCGGCTTTGGGAAGGGCCTGTAGTGGTGCCCGTGCAGTGGCATTGGCACCAGCTCTGTGCTCCTGTTGCTGCAGTGGCTGCTCCGTGCAGGGACTGCGCCCCCGAGGACCAAATCTCCCAGGACCAGATCCACCACGAGGTGCAGGTGAGGGTGTGAGCGGGGGGTTGGGAAGGAGTGCTGAGTGTCAATGGTTTATGGGCTGGTTCGGCCCGGTTCCGTGGGGAGCGGGGCGGGGGGAATCCATGGATCCGCGCCTCCGGAAAAAAAGGAAACAGGGCCCCAAAATAATTAAGAACAGCGGCAACGATCTGAGGAGAAACAAACTAATTTACTGAATACAGTATTGGAATGCAAGATAATACACTATTATACAATATAATCAGAACTGAAGCTAATAAATCAAATATAATGAGAGAGAGAATGTCCAAAAGCTGGATAGGCCTCACCACAACGCTGAGGTGAGATGCACAGTCCAGTTGAGCAGCAGGGAGATGGGAGCAGCGCCCACGACGAAGAGCAGGTGAAAAAGAGCCCATCAGGTGAACCCTGCCAGGAGTTAAACCTCCTCTTGCTGACCACAAAGTCCCCTGGGGAATGTAGTTCTTCTTCTCTTCAGGGCAGGTACCCAGGGCTTGAGCATTGACAGTTAAACTCCCAGTGCCCCACATGAAGTTATGATGCGGAATACCGAAAGCCAAAAATCACAAAAGCATGACACTGAGTCAAGGCAAAGTTGACACAGGACAAAGTTCACTGCGGGATCCTGGTGAGAGTGCTAGGGGCAGGTGGATGCTGCCAGTGGAGTTTTGGAGCAGCATTTTGCGCATCTTCATAATGGGGATGGGAAGGGACGAGCAGGTGAAGCTGGGGAGGGTTGGGATGGAGAAACGTGTAATGTTACCCAGATTTATAGCTGCAGAGGGCACTGCTGGCATGTGCAAGCTGCATGACCTCAGGTTGGTGTGTGTGGAGGCACGATGGCCCAGCTTGCTGCAGTCAGGTGGCCCCTGTGTTTCCTTTGCCAGGATTACTATGGCAGAGAGCTGCAGAAGTCAGAGGACCTGAAAACCAACGCCTGCATCACACCGACCAGGCCCGTTCCCAAGGTGGTGAGAGATGCTCTGCAGCGTGTCCATGAGGAGGTGGTGGCCAGGTGAGCCTCACACTTCCCCCCCGTGCCACCTCCCATGGACTGCACCCTCACTCAGCCCAAACCCCCCAGGTACTATGGCTGTGGCCTGGTCATCCCGGAGTGCCTGGCATCCTGCCGGGTCCTGGACCTGGGCAGCGGCAGTGGCAGGGACTGCTACATGCTGAGCCAGCTGGTGGGGGAGCAGGGCCATGTCACCGGCATCGACATGACTGAGGCACAGGTAAGGCACAGGGCCACCCACGGGATCACCTCGTCCCCACCCTGAGTCCTGCCATACTCCTTCCCTTCCTCCTCCCAGGTCGAGGTGGCGAAAAAGCACATTGCCTATCACATGGAGAAGTTCGGCTACCAAAAGCCAAACGTGGAATTCCTCCAGGGCTACATGGAGAACCTTGGTGATGCTGGGCTGACTGATGAGAGCTATGATATTGTCATGTAGGTACCCTGCAGAGATTGTACTGGATTTGCACCCACATCCCCAAGGGGTCCATTTTGGAACCGATGCTCTTCGGCGTCTTTATCAATTATATAAACAGTGGGATTCAGTGCACCCTCAGCAAGTTTGCTGATAACACCAAGATGAGTGGAGCAGTTGATGCAATAGAAGGAAGGGATATCATCCAGAATGGTTTTTAACTAGAAGAGAAGAGATTGAAGTAAGATGTTAGGAAGAAATTCTTTATTCAGAGGGAGGTGAAGCCCTGGCACTGCTGCCCAGAAGCTGTGGGTGCCTCATCCCTGGAAGCATTCAGGGCCAGGTTGGATGGAGGCCCTGGGTCCTGACCTGGTGGGAGGAACGCAGCCCACCATAGGGGGTTGGAACTGGACGGGCTTTAAGATCCCTCTAACCTAAGCTGTTCTATGATCCTATGTACATTCCTGCTGGGCTGCTCACTTCAACAATGTGTTAGGAAATTAAAAACTAGAGGTAGGATCTAAGCTATAGCCCGGGAATATGGAATTTCCCTTTTTCATGGTTGAATCTTGCAACGAGTGATGGACTATGTGCAGCTGGTGGTGCTGAACAAAGGTGGTGATGCTGCAAAGAATCTTTGGTGTTCTCCTTCCAGCTCCAACTGTGTGATCAACCTCGCCGCAGACAAGAGGGCTGTGCTTCGGGAGGCCTACCGTGTGCTGAAGGTAGGGAGCCAAGTGGGGCTGGGATGGCTTTGCTGCAGGTGCCTGTTCAGTCTCATCATCTCCCATCCACTTCTTACTGCCTTTCAGCCTGGAGGGGAGATGTACTTCAGCGATGTCTATGCCAACCAGCACCTGAGTGAAGCCGTGAGGAAGCACAGGGTGCTGTGGGGTGTGTAGGGCACTGCAACACATGGGATGGGCAGCCTTTGGGTCTGATGTGCATGGTGTCACTGTGCCCATGTCCTTGTCTCAGGAGAGTGCCTGGCAGGAGCCCTGTTCTGGAGAGACTTGTACAGCATTGCCAAGGAGGTGGGTTTCAGCCCTCCGTGCCTGGTCACCGCCAGCCCCATCACTGTCAGCAACAAGGAGCTAGAGAGAATCATTGGTGAGGGTTCCACCATCTCCATTTGGTTATGAGAACTGCACTGGGACTCCGTATACAGTGCCTTTCCCTTGCAGGTGACTGCTGCTTCGTCTCAGCCACGTACCGGCTCTTCAAGGTGCCAGGGAGCAACTGGGCTGGGCCAGGCCAGGTCATCTACAATGGTGGGATTGTGGGGCATGAGCGAGAGCTGGTGTTTGATGCCAACTTCACCTTCAAGGTATGGGAGGCACATTTGGACTCCCAAAGATGACACTATGGAAGGTTCAGGTTGGACATTAGGAAAAATCTATTCTCAGGAAGAGCGGTGAGGCATTGGAACAGGCTGCCCAGGGATGTGGTGGGGTCACTGTCCCTGGAGGTGTTCATGAACCGTGAAGATGTGGCACTGGGGGATCTGGTTAGTGGCATGGTCAGAATGGGTTGATGGTTGGACTGGGTGATCCTAGAGGTCTTTTCCAACTCAGTGATCCTAAAATTCCATATAAACCATGGGAACTGCAAACAGGGCATGGAGAGGAAGTCAGAGCTGTGCAATGTGTTGGGGCAAAGATGGGAGTAGTACGTCCCTGGTGCTACACCAGGTGGTTTGCAGACAGTTGTGGGTGTATCTCCAGGTTTTGGACTGGGCTTTGAGCATCATCTGTCTGGGCAGCTGGGGACCCCTGGGCTACATGTCCCAGGCTCCAGTCCCATGATGTTTTCCTTTCCCCAGGAAGGAGAAGTGGTGGACGTGGATGCTGAAATGGCTGCGATATTGCAGAGCTCCAGGTTTGCGGACAAATTCCTGATCCAGGGTGGTGGGACTGATGTTGCTGCACCACAAGGCTGCTGTCCTGGGAAGATGAAGGTTGGTAGCTATGTGCTGAGCTCTAGGATGGGGACACTGCTGCTGTGTGCTATCACAGGGCTACCCTAAAGTATCAATGGGTGGTCGCATGACACAAGGAGGCCCATGTTCTTCTGGGCCCAGCAGGAGCCTGTGGGAGACTGGATGGCACCTGGTGCCTGAGTTTGGGCAGATCTACCCCTTTTGGATTTGCTGAGGTTTATTTTGCGTCCAGAGGGGTTTGTTGTGGCTTGAGAACCCTTCATCCCCTGCACATGTCTATGGGGGACACTGGAACTAGTGGCTGAACCCGCTGGAGGTCTCTATGAGAGATATCTTTCCTCTAGGCAGGCGGTGGCCACCCCCAGCTGCCCCTTTCTGCTGCTGTGAGCTTGGCCCTGGCTGACAACCCTGACCCTGCAGCTCCTTTATCTGCTGGCAGCCTCTCCTTGCCCCTTCGTCATACTTTCAGCCTCAGCTGGCCCAGCTGGGGCTGTGAAATAGGGGTCACTGACAGGCAAAGGAGATAAAGCCCTGCAGCTGTTTGTCCCTGAAACACAGTCTTGCATTTGACTCTTTGGTCCTGTCCAAGCATTTCTCAGTTAAAAGCACAGTGAAAGTCCCAGAGAAGCTCTCAGTGTCCCCCTTATGGCATAGCAAAGTGAATGGACTGATCAGCTGTTGCCTATGGCGTTCTGCTAGGGTTTGGAGCAAGTAGTGGGGAAGTGCTGCTACCCCATGGCCTGACCCCATCCCTCGTTGTTCTCTACCCTCCAGGAGAAGATCTGTGACCCCTTCCTGTTGCTGCAGCAGCGGGCAGCCCCAGCTCCTGCCTGTGGTGCTGCCAGGACCTGCGAGCCACAGGGCTGCTGATCGGACAGCGATGTCTCCACAGCGTTGGGATCGGGGGGGGCCGTGGCTTCACCGGACAGAAAATACAAATAGTTGAGCAGTGTGGCTGAGCTGGGGTTTGCTTTCTTGCCTGGGGGTGAGGGTGAGCAGCACCTTGGGGACCTCCTCGTGCGGGACGTCTTACCGCCCTGCCCGGCCCCTGCACGGGGAGCGCTGCGGACCAGATGCTGGACGTGAGCTCACAACACATCGAATGCCTGGTTCCCACACAGGGCATGCCGGGGCCGGGCAGGGCGGCTCCAAAGGTGGGGGAAGAATCTTTGGGAGCCCGCAGTTCTCAGCCAGCGCTTCTGAGAAGCAAAAGGCGCAGCCTAGCTGCTCTTCTTGTTTTAACCCCCCCGCGCCGACCTCTGCATTTTCTGCAGCCGGCCCCGGGGCACGGACAGCCCCACCTCCCGCTCCTGGAGCCGGGATTCCAATCCCTGCCCCGTGCGGTGCTGCTGAGCTTTGTTTTTTCCCCGCACTCCATCTAGCGGGGAGCTCCGCGTGCAGCGCAGGCGCTAAGCCTGCAGGTTTGTGCAGGGAAATGCGGCGGTTCTGCAGACCCGGCGCTGCGGAGGCCGTGCTCCGAGTCCTGCAGCCACGGGCCCTGGCGCTGAGCGGCAGCGCCGTCCCAGCCCCGACCGAGCTCAGCCATATGAGCATCCCCACCCCTCGTTGTGCCGTGCGTGTCCGTGCCAGGAGCGGTGCCCGACGGCCGCAACGAGAGACTTCTGGCACCTGAATGGGGCGAGCCTGGAGATGTTCGAGAAACGTGGAGATCTTAGCATCGTATGACCGTTATGGTTGGAAAAGGCTGCTAAACCCAACTATCAGCCCGCTCTGCGCGGTCTCGGCGCTCCGCGGGGGAGGCGGCGAGTGGCCGCCAGGGGGCACTGCGCGACCGCTGAGCAAAGAGAGGCGACGGCGGAGCGGAGCCGGGGAACGGGTAGCGGCGCGTTGTGGGGCGGCGGGATGTGGGTGGAAGGCGGCGGTGGCGGCGGCGGTGGGCGGGAGGACGGACGCCGAGCGGGCCCGTCCTGTTCTGTTTTACCCGCTCCCTCCCGTCCCGTCCCGTCCACTCGCCGCGCGCAGCACGCGCCGGCTCCGACCCGCCGGCCGCTCCGCGCCCTCATTGGTCGCGCCCCTCCGAGGCTCCACCCCTTCAACCCTCGGCCGCGCCGCTATTGGCCGCCTCCTCGCGGCCGGCTCCGCCCCCCACCGCCTGGCGTACACACCGGAATCACGCGCCCCTCGGGCTGAGGCCGCGGTAGAGGCCGGCGGCAGAGGGCCGGACTGACGGCCACGCCCCCTTGCCCGCTCGCGGGCGGCGC